AACTAAGAGCTGATTAGTCTGAAGAGAAAGTTTATAGGCTGCAAACTCTTTGGGACCTATGCACCTTCAAGGAACTCCTAACTCACAAGCTCAGGAACAGCTGTCCATAGCCACAGGTAACAATCATTCATCACATACATTATCTCCTCGACACAGTCACATACCCCATAGAAGAGCTTAGTTACTCATTCTTTTTAAGTCTGGCCCTGAGTCGCAAAGAATCATAAACATCTCCATTTAATCTTGTGGGTGAAGCTGACTAGTGTGGATTGACTTTTCTATGCCCTACCTTTGTCTTATACAATACAGTTGCATTTGTCAAAGTTATTGTAGCTGCTGGGGGTGAGTGGAGAGGGCTACCTTTCACTGCAGGGTAGTGGGGAATTTCATCAGCTTTTATTGTCCTTGACCTGTTCTAAAAGCAAAACTTCCTGTATGGTTTATTCGGCCTGTGGGGATGAGAAGGATATCTGCCACGCTCCAATGCCACCACCAGTTTATATGCAGGAGATAGGGAAATCCAGGAGGAGTCAAGACCTACAAACTGAGCCAGAGATTGCAAACTCAAATATCTCTAGGGACCAGAGGTACGAGAGATGAGGGCTCTAGGCAGAGAGATTTAACAGGGAATTGTGGAGAGTGTGATGACCCAGAGAGGACATGCTCATAAAGGCCTTCCAGCTTTTTATTGTGAATAACTTCATATAGGGAAGTTAAAAAAATATAATGAATGCTTGCATATAATCGACCTCTTAAATTCAGTAATTGTTAATATTGTGCATATTTATCTCTTTTTATGTAGACATGAATATATGTTTCTTGTTCATTCAAACATTTCAAATTCTATTTTATTTCATAAAATTGTTTTTCTTTTTCATGCTTAGGGTGGTCCTGAATTCATGGGCTTAGGTGACCCTCCTGCTTCAGCCTCCAAGTATCTGGGACTACAGGCATGTGCCACTATGCCCAACTTTCATTTCAATTTTTTTGTGTGGTACTGGGTATTGAATCTAGGTCTTCTGCAGTGAGCTACATCCCAAGCCCTTTTAAAATTTTTCATTTGGAGACAGGCTCTTGCTAAATTACTAAGTTGCCGAGGTTGGACTTGAACTTGTGATCTTCCTGCCTCAGCCTCCCTGAGTGCTGGGATTAGAGGAGTGCACCATCACGCCTGGCCTAAATTTATAAAAACAAAAGTAACTGTTTTGTCTAAATAAAACACAACTGAAAAAATTAGGCTTAACTGCTGCTAATTTGTAAACACTGGAAGAGGGTTGATATGAGGGGAATAGTCCAAGTGTGGGATGCCAGTCAACATCAGAGTGATTTCGCATAGAATAGTGGATGAACTAACAGAAACCAACATGGTCTTCCAGCTTCTTTCCAATCTTCTTGTTTCTAAAATAGTATATAATCCTTTAAGATCTGCTAGATTTTTCCACTTCTTTTTTTGTCTTTGTGTGATTATGAATAAATGTAACATACATACATACA